ATTCTGTCTTTCACTGTTAGAATGTACATATGATTAAAGTTATAGATCGTTGCATTCTTTGTAAGTGGGCAAACCTGCAAAATCAGCAAGGGGTCAAACACTTATTTCCCCCACTGTATATATATACAGTGGTCTGCAAAAGTTTGGGAAACTTTGTTCATTTCCATGATTTTCCTTCATAAATCTTTGGTTCTTAGGATAAAAAACAAATCAGTTAAATATATCATATAGGAGACAAACACAGTGATATTTGAGAAGTGAAAGGAAGTTTATACCATTTACAGGAAGTGTGCAATAATGCTATGAAAAACATATTTACGTTTATGCATTTAGCAGAGGCTTTTATCCCAAGCGACTTACAGAGTAGACACAATATTACATTTATCACCACTATGACAATAAGCCATACATACGTACATATATATATAGATATAGATAGATACAGCGGGGGAAATAAGTATTTGACCCCTTCTGGTTTTGCAGGTTTGCCCACTTACAAAGAATGTTTATTTTTCCTCATTAGATGGTTATCAATTTTTATAAATTCATATGATGTGATTTTCTGGAATTTTCTTTGGGATTCTGTCTTTCACTGTTAGAATGTACATATGATTAAAGTTATAGATGGTTGCATTCTTTGTAAGTGGGCAAACCTGCAAAATCAGCAAGGGCTCAAATACTTATTTCCCCCACTGTATTTACATATATATATATTTACTGTAGTTTACCATCTATTTCCTCCAAGGGGATCTGGCCAAAGATGTGCAAATAGGGGCGGTACAGAGCCCTGCGGAACACCCAGTCGATCCTGGGGTCGTTGGGATGGAGGAGGGCCTGAGTGGCCACCCCATAAGCAATGAGCCACACACTCAGGAAGAAGAGGAAGAAGAAAACGTCCTTCATCTGGAAGACAGACAGACAAGTTTATCTCCTTAACCCTAAAATGCCAAATGGCCAGCTGTGACCGGACGTGCTGTATATATCCCTTCCAACTAGGGTTGTCACGATACTAAAATTTTCAACTCGATACCGATACTCAGGAAAATACTCGATACTCGATACCATTTTGATACCACAAGGGTAAAAACAAATACCTCAAAATTTAACTGAATTTTGACAGGTTAGTGTCTTTCATTTCAAACTGACCTGTTACTGATGTTATGGTGGTTGGTGGCCCGAATTAATTACCCTACCCTAACCCTAACTCTAACCCTGACCCTAACCCTAACCCTAACCCTCCAGCCTTCATAATTGTGAGAAATAAATATTTTTTGGCTAAACTTGTTTGGACTTATTGTACAAACCTATTTAACATCCACTATTTTAACATAATATTATGGATAGAGTTTAATCAAGTGTTTTAAAGATTAATTTCACTATTTTTAGATTAATGTCTATATTGCCATGAGGCATTACTATTTTCTTGCCTGGGATTTTCCTTTTGGTGACGTATTCAAAATGGCCGATTTGGATGTGGGTATATGTACTTGATTAATGGTAGCATGTTATTATTAGCCATTAGCCGCAGCTAGCAGTTCAAGGCTAACGTCACGTTTATGATCATCAACAACGTAAATAAATACATAAATAAATCAGAGAGAAGGGGGGGGTATCGATACTTTTGAAAATGAGTATCGTATCCGGATACAACATTTTAGTATCGATACTTTTTTAAGTATCGATACTTTTGACAACCCTACTTCCAACTAATTTTATTATCTAAAACCTATATATCAAAACCTCATCATGGATATAAGAACTGAGAACAGAAATATAAAAACATGTTACTATCCGAAAAGCAAATAGAAATTAATCAACTAGAATTAACCAGAAGAATAATTAACCCTGTAATGCCAAATGTCTCATATCTGATTCATACGGTTTCTGAAATGTTTTGTGTCTGACTCCTTTTGCATAATTTAATGGTAAAAACTTTGCTCAAAATCCTATTGAACACAATCAGATACACCTGATAACAGGGGGCAGAAGATACACAAAAAATAATCTGGACTTATCGCATAGTAATAAATTATTAATATCAAAAATGTATTTCTGTTTTTTCTTTTTACATATTTTGTTAAAAGACCAAATAAGGAATTCAAACCAAAAAAAAGTCATTTTCTGTTTTGTTTTCTTCTTGGTTCAGGCTTTAAAGGGTTAACTGTTAACTTCGTGTTATTCTGGGATGATATTGTTCTGTTTTGGTCACCATTCTTTCCACAATGATGATCTTGGGACCCAGCTGCTTGTGAATGGCAAAGATGTGGATCAATCGAAGAGTGAAGACCATGAAATCTATGGCCAGGACCGTTCGTCCGGCCTCATAGGTGTCAGTCGCCATCCTGGAAAATAGTAGGAAAAGATAGATGACGGTAAGTAACCCTATAAAGCCAAATGTGTCATATCTGATCCGGTTTCTTTTGGATGTGAGACTTTCTGCATCATTCAGTGGTAAAAGCTTTGCTCAAACCCCTGTTGTACACATTCAGATATACCTGATAACAGCCAGTAGAAGACTATACCAACATAGATTTCTGACTTATTGCACGCTAATTTGATCAAAATAATTTCTTTTTTTTTCTTCATATGTTGTTGAGGGGCCAAAGAAAGACTTCAGACTAAAAAAATCCAATATTCTTCCTATTTTTCTTGGATTGGGCTTTAAAGGGTTATGGCAAAACAGGTCTAAGTATTTAACCTTGTAATGCCAAATGTATCATATCTGATATGGTTTCTGAAATGTTTTGTGTCTGACACCTTTTGCATAATTTAATGGTAAAAACTTTGCTCAAAATCCTATTGAACACAATCAGATACACCTGATAACAGGGGGCAGAAGACTACACAAAAAATAATCT